ATCTATCTATCTATCTATCTATCTATCTATCTATCTATCTATCTATCATCTATCTATCTATTCTTTCTTTTTTTCTTCCTCCCTTCTTCATCCTTTCCTCCATCCCTCCCTTCATCTCCCTCCCCCACTGTTTTCTCTCTCCCTCCCTCTCTACATCCCTTCCTCCTCCTTCCCTCTCTCTCTCTTCTTCTGTTCCTCCCTCCCTTCCTTTTCTTTTAAATAATGGAGAGTGAACCCTGGCCTGTGCATGCCAGGCCAGCAATATAATATCAAATTGTTTCACAGGCCATCGTTTTTTTTTTTTTTTTTTTTTTTTGTTTTGTTTTTTTGGCTTTGAGACAAAGGAAGTTGCTGAGGTAGGCGTTGCTCTTTCTCTGTGGCCCAGACTGGGCTTGAGCTGTGATCCTCTCACCTAAGCCTTGTGGGTAGTTGAAGAAACAGCTAGTGGTCCACAGACCCAGCCCAGCCTTCTTTTCCTTACTTGCGTTCTCTCTTGTTCTTTCCTAGTGGTCTTTAGTGACGGTGAGGTCTGAGAACACGCTGCCTGTGTGTCTCTTGCAGCCATTCCTTCTTGCAGCCATTAGGTTTACTGTCAACATGTGAATGCCTGATGGCTAGTTCTATAGGCACTGTTTCCCTGATTCCTGCTTTACTAGGTCAAGTTAGTGCTTGGAACGGATACGTCCCAAACAACGATGCATTTGATTCAGTATCCAGAGACTTCTGTGCATTTTGCCCAGAAGATTTCTTATAATCTAAATGTTATTTTCCACTAGGATTTTTATAAGCTCCACAGCTATTTTTCTCTCTCACCCCCGACGTGGCCCACTGCACTGGCTTGTATAACCCACGGAACACCACGAGCCTGTTTGGAGCAAGGCATACCTCAGGAAACACTAAGCAAATTGTGTCTCTTTCTTACCGTATTGCCTCTGTGACCGTGTAGGTCACAGTGGTAAAGCTGATGCTGGCCCAGAGCAAGAAATAGGTTAAGTAATTACCTGAAATTTTCATGTATGTATGTATGTATGTATGTATGTATGTATGTATGTATGTATG